CATTGATTAATATACCAACATAGTTATGGAACTATGTATATTAATTAGCTAAAATTTCTTTATTTTTAGAGCATTCATGCTTTATCGGTTAAAGGGTTCGTAACTAGGTTCGTAATGATAATTGTAGCGTTTGAAATTATTTGAAGTAAATATATGTTCTCGGTTAGTATGCCAAGATGCATTACGTTACAGCTGTCGGTCTATCTATTTATTTGGTTATCGATAAACTATTTTTTGGCTAACCGGATAATACATGGCAAAGCACTTTATACAATTCATTATTACAGGAAATTATCGAGCCAATTTATATATTACACAGAGTCATATAACAAGTTAGGGTCAGAAATATTTATTAACAGATCATTCTCATGTTGCATAAGTGTTTTATTTCTAGAACTGAGACATATGACCCTGTTTTTGATATGAAAATATTTTATAAAATTAGTTTAATACTATCTTGAATAAAAATTTTAATGCGATGTAATATTTTTTATATAAACTCTTATTAAAATTCTCTACAGTGCCTTAAATCTTAGTAGCGAGTATATTGCGTTTAAACATAGCTTCTTTAAATATTGTCGTTCAAATGTAATCACTTTGGAGTGAATGCATTTGTTGGTAAACTCACTTAAGGTGTTACGTACACGCAATAGCCTATTTGATTCTAAAATATAGACATATATCGCAGAACTCTATTGAGACTTAATAAGTTTAAAAAAAAATTACAGAAACTCTTGAATGTATTTTATGACTAAATGCCATGACCAATAACAAATATATAAAATGGTAATGCCACAATGAAATCTATTAAATCCTATTTGAAATCCAAAACTATGAAACAAATTTTAATAACCAACGAATATATCTTAAGGTCTACAAAACTTTGCGAGATGAACATGTCTATCCTTACGATATACATTTTGTTGGAACCAACAATATGTTGCTAATAGACTAATTTATTATGCACTATGTATCATTAATATTTCATTATTTTTAGAAATACGTTTTACAATGTTTTCTATTGTCTAACATTACAATTTTTTGCAGTGTTTTTTATCGCCTCTCAAGGAGTTTAACAGCTCTGTTATTTAACAGCGCCCATAATTTTCCACTGTTTCATTGGTTGAGTTAATACTTAAAAACAAAACAAACCCTGAATATATGGTATATTATTTTTATGAATTTTTTGTTTTGTTTTAGATTGATTAATGATTCACATGGCAATTAAAATGCGTATTTATGTTGTTCAACAAGTGCGGAATTAAATTCGTAAACAAATTAAATTTCAAAATTGAAAGAAAATCCCAGATGCAATAAGTTCGAAACAAAAAGTCCAAAGTTCATTAAGTAAATATTATTATTGAAATAAATCTATACAGATACTTCAAAAACAAATTTTGCGACATATAAATAACTATTCAGATTGTTTGTTCATTAATTTTACTACAACGCCGACTTATCTTCGAAAACTGACAATAACATTTTGATAAACTGAATATTATACGTGTTTTTAATATGATATCGCATACATTTAGATACAAAGTTCAAGTTGAAGAATTTTCACTATTACTCATCAATATCATAATGAATATTACTTTTTGTTTTTATAATTGAAATATTATCAATTTTCATATGAGAGTTTTATGTTAAAAAAACTATAGCTAGAGCTTTCTAAAAAAGAAATCAGTTTAAGATAGAAAAACAAATGAACACAACTTTTAAAGATCTACATATATACGAGTATACTTTTTATTATAATAATAAACTTTTATACGAATAATATATAGATTGCATTAATGAAGCAAAAAGGATAAAGATGTTCGTTTTATTATTAATGTTATTGATAGAAATTATGATCCATCGCAAGCTAATACCGAGTTACTACCCCAGGAATTGATGGATTGTATTATCACTAAAAAGTCTTTTGAATTAACCTTGTAAACTAAGGCAATTGATGAACCAAATATTAATTATTGGTTTAAAAATCCATTGTCAAGGCTCGATATTAAATATCAAAAATGAAAGAAAATCTCAGACATTGTAATGTCGAAAGAAGAACTCCAAAGATCATTAAGCAAGTATTATAATTTATATAAATTTTAAGTGATACTTAAAAATATATATAAAAACCTTATATCCGAAATATTAATAATCGATATAACGCTTAGATGGTTTAAACAGTATTTAACACAATCTGGATATATCAGCGTCTTTTGATTTTACCTTTGAAAAGTGGTAGTTAATAGCAGCCAGTGATAAATGATAGATATAAATGATAGAGATAAAAATATTTTAAGCAAGAGTTAATTAGAGTCAGTTAAAGCACTAGAGATGACACTTGTAAGTTTTGCAGAGTTTTTAGTTTAAATACGAGAGTTAAATTTATTCAGAGAATTTTATCAATTTATGTTTAAATTAGTTTTTTGAGCTCACTATGTATTGTTCACTACAATAAAATAAATGAAAACAAATTCGAAGACTAACTGCTCTATATTTTAACAATATAGAGAGAGAAACCCAGAACCTGCTCTTTATATTTTATAGTACTTTATTTTTAAATGATAACTGAAGTATGCGGTTGGGTTTGGCAGAGTAATAATATATATTATAGCAAATTATCGGCTGATAACAAATTATGAAAACTGATTACTATTCTAAAGTAAAAGTTAGGGTTTTGACTTTCTAGTGCAATGGATCGCCGCAATTATAGTGGAACTTTTGTGCTAATAACTGATTTTAACTAAATAACTTTACCTTTTAAACGAATCTCAGAATATTTTTTATTAATGTCTCGTATAAGATAAAAACGTAAGTAAATGTTTGCTTAACTCAACACAAAAAATTTTGTAATGACAACAAGTTATTAAGAACAAATACTAGGTTAAATTAGAAGTTGGGATTTTGACTTTTCAGTACAACTAAACGCAGCAACTATAACGGAACTTTGTCCTAATAACTGACTTTTACTGAACAGTAGATATTTAATCTTATAAACAAATCTTAGAATGTCTTCTTTTTTAATATGAAATATTAGGGTTCAGTGTAGGTCTCTAAGCCCTGTTGCGTCAATAAAATCTTCATATTAGAGTTCCTAAATAATTAAACTCTTAAAAGAAAAATAATTCAAAAGTAATAGAAGTTTTCCTGTTAATATATATAATAAAAAGATTTTCAATTTCATATTAGAGTTCCTAAATAATTTAACTCTAAATTATTGATTTGTAAATTATTGAATTGATTCTATTTAATAATTATTAAAGATAAGTAATAATTAATCTTAATTACTTAATTACTTAATTAAATAATAATGAAGTCGTTTTCGTTTGTTGCTTAAGTCTTTTCATTGATGAGAAAAGTCCTTGCTATTTTGAAATTCTAAGGTATTTTGTTCTTCAAGCAAATGCTGTAAATGTTTGAATAAAATGTTTTTTGTCGGTACTAAAATCTTGATTAGTGTTCTGTAATGTTGTCTACATTGGTTGGGGTTTTTTCCAATCAGTATGTTTGATAGAGCAAGAAGTTAGAAGTGCAACCAAATGCAACATGTCAACTACCCAAACAGAAATATTGCGAAGATTTGAAGACAAAAAAGAATCTAACATTTCTGTCGCTTGGCACTGAAGAAGAAGTACACAGAGATCTTGGTAAGCAGCAACGGTGGTGGTGCAGTGCCTAACAGAACGCACCACCAATTGCTACGAAGCTTGAACGAACTCACGCAACGAACAACATCACAACACAACACTACACTACACGAACGAATGCTTTTGAGTTTTCTTACTTGTGTTTGTTATTGTTATTGTTGTTGCTGTGCTTGATGAATGTGATTGTTGTTGTTGTTGGAAATTTTAATTTCAAAGATACGAAACGTACTGGGCTCGTTCATTTGTTCGCTTCGTACGCTGTGATGCGGCGGTGTTTCACTTTGGATTTGGTATGCGATTTGATTCCGTTCAGTTTTGTAGCACCTTTTGTCGGGTAAAGAACGTTAAAACGCTTGATAACAAATAAACAGTAAAAAAATTATTGAGAAGATATCAGAAAAAAAAGTTTTAAAATATTATAGTAGATACAAAAGAAGCAGGAAAAGTATAAACAAATCGGTTGAAGTAAAAAAAAAATGCTAAACGGCACAAGAACAAAAGTGAAATTATGCTGAGAAATTTTTTAAACAAATTATTTTAATTATTTCTAAATTAAAATTAAAGGAAATAATTCATTTAATATTACAAAAAAAAAGTTAAAAATTTGAAATAATCAACGATTTTGTTTTAAAAGTCGCACTTAGTCGAATTATAAAATTATAAAAATTATTCCATGTAGAAATTAATATCAAAATTAGTGTTTATCATTAAAAAAATTAAATAATTTATTTTATAAAAAATATTAAAAATTTTAATGTGCAAAATTAAAACAAACAAGAAACCCAACAGTGAACTGCTTTATATGTAAAACAAATGCATTATTAACAAAATTTATAAAAATAAAGTTTTTAAATAAAGAAAATAAAGTTTTAAATAAAAAAATATAATATTTAAAAAAAAGTTTTTAAATAATTATATGTATTAAAATAAAAAGCACTTTAGTCGAAATTTATTAAAAATATGAAAAAAAATTGAAATTGAATGCTTACAAAAAAAAAATTCAAAAATTTATATTTTAATTGAAAAAAATTAAAAAATTGAAATATATACTTATAATTAATAAAATATTTAAGTGTTACATTAAATTATACATTGGGTATTAAAAATAATTTTCATTGTTAAAATAATAACTTAAAAACGGAATTGTTTAATATCTTAATATTTAAAAGAATATCACTAATTACTAAAAATTGTCTCTTTAAAAATATATAAAAATATTTTAAACATATAAATACAATATTTAAATTAATTAAAATTCTGCTTAAAATTTAAAGAAAAATTATATTAAGTGCAATAATCAAAACTTGCTTGCTGAAAAAACCTATAAAGAATATATATGGATTATATATTAAATTAAATAAGTTACTTTTAAAAAAGCAGAAAGTGTACACTGAACTTGCAATAAATTTTTTATATTTTAATAATTGAAATATATTACATATACAACAAATGTTGCATTTTTGTATATACGCACAATTCTATGTTGGATTATAAATTTTACCCTTAAATTGGGGGATACAATGAGGCCAGAAATATACGATGTGAGTAATAATTTTTAAAATTAAAAACAATTTTTGTTTTTTTAATAATTATACTAAAATTATATACTAATTAAATATATTTTTATTAATTTCACATATTTTATTTTGCATATGCGATATTATATTTTTTAATGTATTTATTTATTTATTTATATTATATATTTATAATTTTTTTATGGTACACTTATATTTATATTATTATAAATCTAAACTATAATTTTATTTAAATTTTAGACCAACTCTTTACTTTCCAAAATTTTAAATATTTTAAGTATTTTTTGCATTATGCTTTAAAATAATATGGATATTTTTCATTAATTAATTTTATTTAAAAAGAATTTTTTTATTATCAATTAAAAATTGGCATTTATTTGAAAACCCGACGTATCGTGATTTTTTTGTCACTTTGTCAGAGGTGTGAAGTTTATTGTACACTAGGAATTGAAAAAAATATTAAAATATTTGAATTTTATTTCATCATTTTATATTGTTATAAAGGGAGTGTCTCTAATTAAAAGATTTTTTTTTTTTCAAAAACGGAACTCGAGTCTAAAATATATAAGCATTCTTTATTAAATGTTACAAATCCAACAATGTTTTAATTAATAGAAAACATTGTTCTTTAATGCTTCAAGATAGCACTTTTACAAAGGATTATATCCTAACGAGTATATTAGAAGATAGTTGTCAATATGTTTAGTTGAATCAGTAATACCTGTTTATTTAATATATTGTTTTTATATGAAAATGAAACTTAAAATGTGATTGAGATACAATCGCTAAATATTTTAAGTTCAGGTTTTTAAAAATAAAAATGATTATATAAAATTTTATATATAATAATTAAAATATTTTTAATTATTAAAGAATTGAAAATTTTATTAATTCCGTTGTAAATATTTAACAACACAATTAATTTCGAAAATTTTGAAATTATATTTATAATTGATAATAATTATAATTTAATATAATTTTATAAATTTTATAAAGCATAAATAAAATGCAAAAAATAAAATGAGAAACGAAGTTTCTATGTTAATATAATAAATAAAAATAAATTGTTAATTTTTTAAATATGTAATATCCTCACTAATAAAACGTTAAATATTAAAATAAATAAAAAACATTGTTCATTAAATATATATAAAAATTCTTGAACTTTGTTTAGTAATATAATAAATAAAAAGCAATATTAATAATTTATAACAGCTATTAAATTTGCTTAACATTAATGATTGACCACGAGTGTTAATGTAAAGTAATTACATATAATAAAATAAATTATTGAACAGAATAATAATACATGAAGTATAATAAAATTTAATAAATTATTAAGTTTGATAATATATTTGCATAATACAATAATTTCATGTATTTTTACTATATATAATGTTATTATTAATTCATTATTTATTTATTATTTATATTTTAACTTATAGTTAAAAGACTTTATATAAGGCAAATGAATGTAAAGAAAATTGATTTACTCTATAATTAAAAAAAATTAAATCTAATTATGTGACAGTTTTTAAATTACTTTATAAATTAACGCTGCCTAATTAGATTTGGTAAGAAAGCATTTATTTAACTAAAATTTGTATTTGACAACTTTTTAATATATGATAACTAGTTAATAATATTAAAAACAAATAATTTCGATATAAGTTAAAAAAAGTGACTTGAAATTTTTTGTTAGAATATTCTTTATATTGTATAGTATATATACCGTATAATATATATTGTATAGTGTATTATAATATTATTTATTCTATGCGCTGTGTAAGGTCTGATATGATTGCAGAGTATGTGATTGTATCTCTTTAAAAATCTCTGCTACTATTTCTAGCAGTTAGTCGTTTTGATTAAAAATAATAATCGTTTCATAAGTGTTAGGTTTGGTTTTACTAGGTGCCACTAATATGCTACGTATAGACTTTTGTTGTAATGTTTAGTATCAATATGCCAAATATAGACTTTTCTGTCCTAGTTAGAAACATATATGGTCCATAGAATAAAGTTTAAAACTGCTTACTTATGTTACTAGCTAGTTTGTTAGTTGAAAATAGAGTCTTGTTGTCCACATGCAGTTTTAAATAATCACTTAAGGATCTATCTGATATTCTGTCTACCTTACGAATTAAAAAATTATCACGGTTATCTGTTTGTCACAAATACTAGATTAGATATAAACTCAAAATGTATTGCAGTTCGGAAAAGTTTTCAATGTGTTTTACAAGGACTGGTACGAATAAAATCGTTAAAGGGAGAAGTATGATATTTAATAGACCAGTAGCGTAAATAGCGCAGTTTGTTAAATGCTCTAGTTTCTGATATTGGATTGCAACAAAGTAAAGATCGGACATGCAAATAGCGTTTCAAAATTTCCTTTATAATGAATATATTGCAAAAAGAAATTAATTTTTACAATGGAAAAAGTTTTAAACTATATTATTTGGGACGCCATCCTATTACTTTAATGGTAGTTGAACTAATAGTTGTTTTTATACTTATTTTCATACCTATCGCTATCCTTAAATAAAGCTAGCTTTGATTTTCCATAGGTTAGTTTTGGTTGGAGTGCGGGTATTGCACATTTAAATAGTACCTCATTTCCATTAGAATATTCATAGTTCACTTATAATTCTTCATATAATGTGTTAATTTTTTATATGAATATGTGTCTCAATTCTAATCGAGCACGTGTCTTGCATATCCTTATGCTCTCTAAAGCAAACATACAAGTATCTGAAACTAACCCTTCAAATAAAAACTACAACAACTAAATAAAGACAGTATCCGGTATTTTTTTCATATAGTTTACATATTGTACATATTTAATGGTTATTAAACAAATTTTTATTTACTGCAAAACATACCAAATTACCATATGAGAATTAAATGCTCGTAAAATTAAAAAATCCTAAAAAGCACAATTACTTTCAGTTTTTATTGCATATATCTTTTGCATTCATTTTTTCTTTATGAACTTATTATTATAATTATAATTACAAGTATTTTTTTGTAATACAAGTTTGTTTATATTTTTACAAAAAAAAAAAAGGAAAAAATCAAGTATAGTAAATCTGAAAAAAGTTCCCTAAGAACACGCCATATGAAAATATGCGATATACTATACACTATACAGTGTAGTAAGCCACACTGCAACAACCCCTTTTTTGCATGAGAGTTTGCTACACTGTAAGTATTGTTGTTATTATTATTGTTGTAATGCTATATAAAAATAATATATATAAATATATAGTAGTGTTATTCTCTACTTATAGCACTTTTCTAAGGGTATGTATATTTTTGTTGTTGTTGTTGTTGTTATTTTTACTTAGTACTATTTTTATTTCTACGTCTTTCACTATTTCCAGCTTAAAATTTTTTCTGTGTTGCTTTTTGACATGAAATAAATCAATTGCGAAATCATGTGAGCAAACAACCCTTTTTCATTATTGTAAAATAATAACAAAATAAATACAAATATAAAAAAAAAAAATTTCAAAAAAATTAAAAAAAAGAAGAGGAAAGAATGAGAATAACATAAGAAGTGGTAATAATAGGAAAGAAAAGACGAAATAATATAATCGTATGATGCAATATCACCGGAAACTTCGGTATAACATAGAATTTGTATATCTATAAAAATTGTCACATGATCATGATGGTTTTGAGAGCGGTTCTGACGATGGAGAGTCTAAGAGTGCTTAGGAACTTTCTCATGTGACAGTTTACTTTAGAGTTGAAGAGATTTAAGAACAATTTTTTGTAATTCTCTACGAATAGTAATTTCATCTTACAAAGTTACTATCTATAGAAATTAACTGTGAAACAGAGTTAAATAAATCTTCGTATATTATTTTCAGTTTTGAATTATACTCTTAATGGTAGTAATTCCGATATTAAAAGGCAGTTAAGGCTTTGGAACCTGCTCGTTTGAAAGTTTACAAGACTGCTGAAAAAACTTATCAAATAATAGTTTCACAAATGTCTTCAAATATTAATCTCAGCTTAGAAATGTACTATATACAGTAGAAATTTTGACTGACTTCTAAAAGATTGGGAGTGGTTTCTCGTGTCGAAGTCCGCATAAGAGCTGAAAAGACATATTTAATAAAAATTTTATGAAATCTTCAAATATTATTTGCAACTAAGAAAGTTGCTATATATAATAGTGATTTCAATATGTAAAGATGGGGAATGCTTTAGAACCTGTTTGCGTTACTCTTAAAGTTATTGTAAAATTAAGAAACTAAACATTTTTTATAAATACAAACTATTAAATACTAATAAAAAATATTTTAAGTTATATTTTTTTTGGCTTAAAGTTTATAAATTCCAAAGTTATTTCAACTAAACAACCTTGATTTTTTTGTACTTTAAAATTTCAAAGATTTAAATTGGCATTAATAAATTAGTTTGTTTAAGATTAAAAATTTAATTATGATTAGGTATTGACTTGTTGAAATTTAAGTACTATAAAATCATTGTAAACTCACATAATTTGATAGTGAAAATTAGTCCATAAACGAGCCCACCACTAGAATTACTGTATTAGTGCTTGTCAAAATTTTAAAAGGTAGTTAAGGTAGTTAAGGTGGTTGCGCAGTACGAAATAAAATTCTTAGAATTAATACCAAGATAAGCCGAGAAAATCACTAGGAATTTAAGTGATTACAGTAATACTACAAAAAAAAAAATTAAATTTTTGGTATATTTGTATATAATCGTACATATAGATGAAGAAATCCTACATTTAACAATGTGAAAACAATAAAGAAATTTTAATTGAGTGAGAGATAAGGTAATTTATTTTATATGGGATTGAGGTGGTGGACCTTGTTATGCGTGGAAATTTTTGAAATGCCTAGACTAAATGTTTCAAAAGTTTAAATGTTAAAGTTCGATATAAACGTAGAATTTTAAATTTATAAAACATTTAACAAATATATATATTTTGTTGATAAGAATTTTTTTACTATCATTAAACCAATTAG